GGTTTTCTTTGCTTATTTTTTATATGTGTTTATAGTAGTTGTGTTGGGTATTCTTCCAGTAGATGGGAGGCCCACGAGCGGCATGTGGTTGCGTTTGACTCGCACGCAGAGATGCGTAGGAGCTGCGGCTGCGGCTGCGGGTACTATGTCTCTGGTGAATGCCTTGTGCCTTCTTTTTCTTCCTCGTTGTGTGGGCTACGGTTGAGGGGGTGTGGTCTGTGTGGGGAGAAGAGCAGCGGGAGGTGGTTGTCTGTTGCGGTTTCCCTGGAGTTGCAACGTCGTCGCAGGCAGTGTGCACGCAGTGGAAGGGGAGGAGGCCGTGTAACAGTTAGTACAAGCAGTGGAGGGATGGATGCGTCAGCGGTGAAGTTAGTCCATGTATGTGTGTTGGTTGCGGAGAGGACCAGCTTTTTTTTGTTGTTTTTGTTTTCAGTGTGTGTAGTTTGTCACCGTTTGTTCGCGGCGTCGTCTCTCTCTCCTTTTTTCTCGCCTCCTTCGTCTTACTCGTGAGTTGTAGTTGCTTTTTTTTTTGCCTTGCTTTGTTACGCGTGTCTGGCCTTCTTCTGCGGGGGCCGCCCCGGCGTGTCCGCGGCGTCGGAGTCGCCCTCGCTGTCGTCGTACAATTCGCCCCGTGCGGCCTTCAGGAGCCGCGAGAGGGACCCGCCGTCGTCCTCGTCGCTGCTGCCGTCGTCGGTGTCGCCGTCGCGGTGGGTGCGACGCCTGCCGGCGGACGCGCCGACTTCGCTGAGGGAAACGCGCTTCGCGACTTTTCCGTCGCGTTGCAGCCGCCGGAGCCGCCGGAGGCGCTTCGCGCGGTCCGCGTCGCCGCCCGCCTCGCGCAGCATGCGCTCCCGCAGCCGCCCCGCGTAGTCGACGTCGTGCGCCTCGTCGCTGCTCCCGTGCGTCGCCCCCACCGCCGCCGCGAGGAGGGCGCCGCGTCGCTCCGTCTCGCCCTCCGCCTCCGCCTCCGCCTCGTCGTCGTCGTCGTCCTCGAAGACGATGCGCTCGCTGAGGCCGAGGTCCCGCACCCGCAGGTCCGCCGCCTGGACAAATTTCCGCAGCTTCCGCTTTGAGAGGCCGGCCATGCGCTCAGCCGCGGTCAACCGTGTGGACGCCGCCCCCTGCGGCTGCGGCGCACTACCGCCGCCGTCGCCCTCATTTGTGCCGCTGCGCGTGTCGTAGTTGGTCTGCGGGCAGGCGGCGGCTGTGCGCGGGAGTCGCACGAGGAAGCCGTCGTCCTCCTCCCCCTCCTCCGCGTCGTCACCGCCGGCGGGCCTCCCACTCGCCTCGTCGCGAGGGCCCCTGCGGCTCCCCTCCTCCGCCCCCTCGCTGTCCTCGTCGTGCGTTGCGTAGCGCTGTTTTTGCTGCATCGTGCGGAACATGTCTGACGCGGCGAGGTGCTTCTCACGGCGTGTGAGGTGCTGCTGCCGCTGCGGGTCCTGCTGCTGCTGCTGCTCACGCTGCGCCATGTAGTTGACGACGTCCCAGGGCAGGTTCTTCGCCCCCCGCCGCAGGTTCTGCAGCTCCGCCATGTTAGGCACCTTCAGAAGCCCGAGCGAGTGGGCGAAGGCCCCGACGTCGATGCCGCCGACGTTAAAGACGAGTTTGTTGGCAGCGAAGTAGACGGAGCGGAGGTACGCGATGAAGGCCTTCTGCGCCTCATACTTGAGCCCCTGCACCACCAACGCGACGAAGATCTCCTTTGACTCCTGCAGCATCCCAGGGCGGAAGGCGATCTCGCGCAGCGGGACGTGCTTGTGGGCGAGGAAGGAGAGCATGGGGGTCTCCTGCGGGGTCAGGAAGAGCAGGCTCACCCCGCGAGCCCCGGCGCGGGCGGTGCGCCCGGCACGGTGAATGTACGTCTGTGCGCTGTCCGGGCAGTCGTACTGCACGGCCCAGTGCACAAGCGGGAAGTCCAGCCCGCGTGCGGCGATATCGGTGCAGAAGAGAACGGCAGCCTTGCAGCGGCAGAAGGTCAGGAACACCTCCTCTCGACGGAACTGTTTCATTTTGCTCGTGAGACACATGGACGGGATGCGCATCTTCTTTAGGATCTTGGAGAAGGCGAGGTACATGTACCGCACCTGATTGCAGGTGCTTACAAAGACGACCGTCTTGTCATTCGGGTGTCGCTTGAGAAACATGAGAAGGGCGTCTAACTTGCGGTGCAGCTCAAGCACAATAAAGTTTTGGCAGAGCGTCGCTGGCGTGGGGGCGGCCGTGGCGGCGTGTGCCGTGACGTACCGCTGATTCCGCAGCGACATCTGGGCGAGCATCTGCACATCCGTCGTCTGCGTCGCGGAGAAGAGCAGCGTCTGCCGGGCGGTGGGCAGGTGGCGCAGGATACCGCAGACGGCGTCACGAAAGCCCATGTCCAGCAGCCGGTCCGCCTCGTCCATGACGAAGAGCTGCAGGTTGTCCGTCACGAGGTTCGCGTCGTCCTCGAGGTGGTGCAGCACGCGGCCCGGCGTGCCGACGATGATGCTGATCGCCGCCAGCCGCTTCCGCTCCTCCTCCACGTCGCGGCCGCCGGTGAGGAGCGCCGCGGAGAGGGTGTGCTTGTAGCCGACGAGCTGCAGCACCTTGAAGATCTGCAGCGCGAGCTCGCGGGTGGGGCTCAGGACGAGCGCCCCAACCCCCATCGCCGCGTCCCACTGCTCCACGAAGAGCCGCTCGAGCACCGGCACGACGAAGCACAGCGTCTTGCCGGAGCCCGTCTTGGCGGCGCCGAGCACGTCGTAGCCGGCGAGCGCGAGGTGCAGCGCGTCGCCCTGGATGGGCGTCATGCGCTTGTAGCCGCCGCGCTCGAGGCCGAGCTGCGTGCGCTGCGACAGGGGCAGCTGCTTGAAGTGCGTGTACGCGTGCGTTTCCCCCGCCTCCGTCTGCTGCCCAGCCGCGTGGCCGTCCGTCTCCGCGGCGTCAAGTGCGGCGCGCAGCTCCTCGAGGCGTGTGCGCAGCTCGCGAATCTCCGCGCGGTTTAGCCGTGACCGCTCCTGCCGCTCCAGCCATTTCTGCTGGTTCTGCTTTTGCTTCGCCCTGCGTCGATCCTCGTCCATGACGGCGGCCTCACACACGCACACAGGCAGACAGACAGACACACGCTCACGGAGAGAAAGGCGGTCGCTGAGGCGGTTGCCGTTTCCACTCTGCATTGCACGAGCGTGTGCATGTGTGAAGCAAAGAGGGGAAGACGTGGGTGTGAGAGAGGGGGGAAGAGCAAAAACAACATGAAATAGTCAAGCAACCAGCCAGCAGAGAGGAGTCCACATAATACACATGACGCAATTGCAGGCGGTCGGTCGTGCATGCATGTTTGCAGCGGAAAGAATGGAAGTGAGCGAGAGAGAGAGAGAGGGAGAAAGGGACGAAACTGTGTGTGCGTGTGCATGCGCCACCGGCGAGGAAGTGCACTCCCACACACCTTTACATGCACCGAGCCCTCTCGCCTTCCCCGGAAGGAACGAAGCATGCAGGCACCACGACCAAACGCAGTAGACTGACGGAGAGGGAGCAAAGGAGGGAACCGGCGTATCGGACTAAAACTGCAAAGCGAAGGAGAGAGGAGGAAACAAACAAACAAAAAAAACTGGGGATAGCGGGTGCGCCGCGTTCCGCCGTTTTTTTTTTTTGGCATGTGTGTTCGTTCCTCTTTTGCCCTCCTCATTAGAAGGAGCGGAATTCAACGTCCATGTCCGCCAGCTCCTCTGGTTTTCTCTCCGCGTACTGCGCCTCCGCGAGCCGCTGACGCAGCTGCGCGATGCGTGTGGAGATGACCTCCTTGCGGAACTTCGAGAGGTGCAGGCGGATGAGGCTCAGTGCGCCGTGGATGTCGGCGTAGCCCGAGTCCTTGAACATCCACTTCGCCACGCACTCCGCGATGAGGAGGCTGTGCACGTAGCCCTCGCTGCCCATGCTGCCGCACGTCGGGCAGCGGAAGAGGCTCGGCGCGATGCTCAGCGAGTCGAAGCAGGCGAGGCAGAAGGTGTGGCCGCAGGGCCAAAACACAACGGGGTCCTCAAAGAACAGGCCACAGACGCGGCACGTCAGGGCCTCCTCCAGGGCCTCGTTGACGTCCGTTAGCTCCTCCACGAGGGTGTCGAGGCGACGCACGTGCTCGCGGAAGAGCCGTTCCCTCTCCGCAAACCGCACCAGCCACGACAGCTGCTGCTCGAGGGTGTCGGAGAGGATGTTGTTCTGCACCCCCAGCGAGCGGTAGCGTGGGCCGCGGGAGAGCTCCTCCTCGAAGGTGCGGCTCACCGTCTGGTCGCCGAGCTCCTGCAGCGTGCGCCAGAGCCAGTAGCGGTGCAGCATGTTGACCCGGTCCACGAACCGCCCGCGAATGACCTCCTCGTTGGCCTCGATCTGCTCCCGCAGCGAGCGCACCTCCGCCTCCATCGCCGCCCCCACCGCGGCAATGGTGTCCTTGCGCAGGCCAATGATGTGCCCCACCACCCTCGACATCAGCAGCAGCCGGCGCGAGACCCGCTCCGTCTTGCAGATCTCAAGCTCCAGCTTCTCGGCCTTCTCCTGCGCGCGGCGGGCCACGGCGTCCGACCTGCCCGGCACCCCGTGCTCGTTGTTCAGCCGCTCCAGCTCCAGCTCCGCCAGCCGCGAGCGGAGGGAGATGAGGGACTGCGCAAGCCGCAGCGCCAACTCCTGCGGCTGCCGCAGGGACAAGAGGTGCTCCAGCGGCGTCTTGGCCACATCCAGCGGCTGTGTCTCGTCCTCTAAAAGCTCCTGCAGCTTCTGAAATTCCTCCGCCTCCTGCGTATCCGCCGGCGCCTCCTGGTTTTTGTTTCGCTGCCGCGACGAAGAGTGGGCATGCGACGACGGAGAGTTCTTTTTACCGCGGCTCTTTTTCGGCATCCTACGTGCGTGTGCGGGGAGCAGAGGCAGCGCACGCTCCAGCCCCACCTCTTTGCCACGCAGGGTGCGTGCCGGCATTAATGTGAACGCGCCGGGCAGAGCAGCAGCGGCAACAACAACAAAAAGAACAACACGACAAGAAGGAAGAAATGCATTCATACACGCACACACGCACAGAGAGAAAAAAAAGGAGTAAAAACAAACAAACGGAAACTCAGTGTGCCTGCAGGCACGTATGCAGACACTTTTTGCCGGGTAAAGACGGAAGGAGGAGGTGAGGCTCACACTCCCTGCCAAGGCAGAGGGAGAGGGGGAGAGCGGAAGCAAGCGTGTGGGGGGGAAGAGTGCGTATCAGTAGGTTCACACGCTTCACAGAAACTCGGCCTCTGGTGTCCAGGAGCCGTCAAGCAGCCCGATCCGCCGCCCCTTAAGACTATAGACGCGCTCCCTCTGGAGAATGGGCTCAAAACACTTGCGACAGTGAAATTCAATAGACTTCTTTGCCGCAACGCCGCCGGCGGCATCCGCCACATCGGCGTTAATGCTGACCTCGCGCAGGTGCGTAAAGACCCGTGGGAAGTCGCAGTCGCCATGCATGGCGGCGACGTTCCACGACGCCTTCGCCGCCGCCTGCGACGCGTCTGCCGCGGCCGTCGTGGAACGTGGCGGGGTCCTCGCCGGACGCCTCATTTTTCCGGCGGGCGCCGGGGCGTCGGGGTCGCCCAGGACGAAGCTGCCGAGGTGCTCGCGAACAAACGCCTCCAGGCGCGGGGGGAGCGGGGTGGGGGGCGCCGTGATGGTAAACTCCAAGAGGCTGACAGGGTGCACCGAGTAGTACGCGTTCCGCCTCACTTGGTGCGTGCAGACGCACGACGGCGCGGCGCGAAGGTCACGGCAGCCGTCGCCGCGCGGCAGGGCAAAAAGGCTGCCGGCCTCCACCGCGCGCGGCTCCGTCAACGGCAAGTGACCGGCCACAATGACGTCGTAGCGCATCGTCACGTCCTGCAGGGAGGTCGCGAAGGCGTGCCGGTCCGCCACGCTCACCACCACCGGGCCGGAGGCGTACACGTCCACGTCATTTATGACACGCACCCGCACCTCCGCTGGGCGCAGCTCACGCTGCAGAACCGGCTGCACCGCACGCGAGCGCAACGCCGCCTCCACGAAGGACTCCACCGAGACACGGTGGTAGTTCCCGTCGGCCTCCGCGCGGCGCATTGGGCAGAAGGGTGGTTTGTACACTGCGAACGTGAACCAGCGCGACAGCACGGCGTCCTCGCAGAGCAGGCGCAGCGACTTGGGGCTAATGAGACGCATGTTGCGGAGAAAACGGGTCTGCAAGTCATCCGCGGGGACCGACGCGGAGACCCGGGCCAACTCGGCGGCATTGCGCAGCAGCGTCTCTTTGCTGTTGCTGCGCAGGATATCCGTTAGCCGCCTCGAAGGGGCCTTTGAGGTCATTTCGCCTTCTTTTTTTTTAGTTCTTCTTCCTCGACCCCGCCTTTGCAAATCCTCCTGTTAGCGACCGCAGCCCCACCGCCGCGGCCCTCCAACTGACAATATCCGCAGGGGACGGACGGACGCCGCGGCGCGTATTTTGCGCGGGCACCTCACACGGGCACAAATACAAAAAAAGGCGAAGAAGAGGAAAAAGCGGGAAAGCAACCCCCCCCCCAAAAAAAAAAGAACGAGAAACAGGGTGGGGGGAAGAGCAACAAAAAGCAGCAGCAACGACAAAGGAAGAGGAACTTGTACAAACCAAAACCCACACAATGTGCCGCACCTGCAGACACACGGCGAAGGGAGAAAAGTTAACGGCGATGACTTTAAATAAAGTAATTACATATACTCAGATATATATATTTATATGGCGGGCCCTTCTCTCTTCTCCGCCCACGCACTTACAAATGTGGCCTTCAGACCCCAAAGACACAGAGGCATTGAGCGGGAATTGGGGGCAAGGCCCTGCGTGAGTGCCCGCCACCAGCAGCGACAACGGCACCAACGGCTGTCGCTGGAGACTGCGGGCTGGTGGGTTGGGATGCAGGAAGGGCGTTATGGACCCACGCGGGGCGCAGCCTTGGCTTGCTGGATTAGCAGCGCAAAGGCGTACTCGCGCGCAATTTCCCGCAGCTTCTCGTACCGCCCCGTGGACCCGCCGTGGCCTACGCCAAAGTCGCAGTAGTGCAGAATCATCTGCCGCCCCGGGGCCGCGTCTCCCGCCTCCGCGCGCGCCCGCAGTCGGGCGGTAAATGCGAGCGACTCCCAATACCCGACGCGCGTGTCGTGCCACGCCGTCAGCAGCAGCATGTGCGGCAGTGCGACGCCCGCCGGAGGAATGTTGTCCATCGGCGACATGCGGCGGAGCAGGCGGTAGGCGTCGGCGTCGTCGCGCGGGTTGCCGAACTCCTCCCACTCGCAAACGGTGAGCGGGAGGCTGTCGTCCATGAGGGTCGTCAGGCAGTCGACAAACGGCACCGACGCAACGACGGCGAGCGGGAGCGACGGCGCAACGCACATCGCCGCCGCCACCACAAACCCGCCAGCCGAAGAGCCGTGCGTCACGAGTCGACCCGCCGCGCACCAGCCAGTCTCCTGCAGATAACACGAGACGCTCACAAAGTCGTTGACGCTCGTTGCCCGCTGCAGCCTGCGACCCGCGTCGCGCCACGGGATGCCAAGCTCGCCGCCGCCGCGAACCGCCGCCGCCGCCCACACGAAGCCGCGGTCCAGGAGTGCAAGCCGCTCCGTCTCAAAGGCAGCGTCGCAGCAGTCGCCGTAGGAGCCGTAGACTGTCAGCAGCATGGGGTTTTCGCCGTCGCGGCGAAGCGACTTCTTCCAGCAGAGGAACACCGGCACACGCACCACCGCGGAGGGCTCCTTCGTGGGCAGCGGCTGCAGCAGTGGCGCCGGCGCCCCGTCGCGAAACGCGTAGTCCGACGGGACCCACACAACGGCGGCGTCGTACTCATCGGCGTGATACGGCCTCCCACCTACCCCCACCTCGCATAAACGCCTAGCGCACAATGTGTCGCCCGCCCCCTCCAGCGTACACTCGATGAGAAAGGTGGGCAGCGTAAGGTGGGTCACGACAATACGCCACGTTGGAGTATTAAAGGCGACGTCGTCCGTGGAACTCATGAGATGAGAAATATATCCCGCCTCGTCCTCGCCCGGTTTCTGCCCCTGCTGCTCCTGCAGCAGTTGAGCTACAGGGAAACGCACCTCCCCCGGCAAGCGGAACGGGCGGCAGACAACGTGGCGAAGGTCCACTGTATCGTCCCGTAGGGAGAGCGGAGGCATATTCCCCGCGCCACAGTCGCGCCAACGGTCCCAGAGCACGCGCACGGGCAACAGCAGCACCGTCGACGCCGCTGCACGCCTCACGGTGAGAAGCAGATAGTCCCGCATGCATTCCACGCCCTCAACGCTGATGCCAGGGTCATGTGTAAAGAGCGGTCGCCAACGCGCAGGGTCCGAGAGTGTTCGCCCAGGCCCAGCACCGCCGCGGTCCTCGTCGTCGTCCAAGACGTACGCCACGCGGAAGTCTCCCGGCCCCGGTGGGGCGCTTGTCATCGTCACCACCCACGCGCCCAAGTCCTCCCCGAAGAGTGACTTGTGGTGGTCAACGTCGTAGTCCATGCCCGCGTGCCGATCCGCAAAGCAGTGCACCGCGCACGTACGGGTGTGGAATTCCGCCCCCTCCTCCTTTGCCGCGGGGTGCGGAGCCGCAGGAACCCCGATGACGCATCGCTCCACCCCCGCCTCGCAGGGAATGACGTACACCTCCGTGCAACTCCCTGAGGCGACGGTGAACATGGCAAACCGCCCATCCGCGGAGAAGCAAAGGGAACTGACCCAAAACGCCTCATCCGTCTCTTCGTAGCAGATGATGTCGGCGTCTTCGGCGTTTGCGGCGGCGGTGAGGTCGTGGTAAATGACGCGGCAGGAGCGCATCTTCCCGTCCACGCCGACGTAGAGCAGCGAGGTAGGGGAGAGCCACAGCACCTCATCCGCGGCATCAAAAACGTCGATTCGACGTAGCACCTTGTGTGCCGGCTCCGCTCGTTGCGTCGACGCCGCCGTTGTGGACAGCGAGGCGGAAGACGAGAATGCAGAGGGGGCGGCCACCGCGTGATTTTTCTCCGTCTTCCTCTTCATCGCGTGGGCACCGCCGCCCAACTTTGGGGCACCCCCGTCACCGCCACCGCCACCGCCACCGCCACCGCCACCGCCGCTGCTGCTGCTTCCGGCGGGTGTCGTGGGGCTGCGGTGTGCCGGGAGAAGAGACGCGGGGGAGGCGTAGATGGACTGGTCCGAGCGCATCGCCGCCTCCGCCCACGCGCGGTGCAGCTCCGACCGCTCATTCAGCCACCGCGCGTAGTTCACGTCGGTGATGTCGAGCAGGAAGATGGTGAAGAGCTCCTTTCCGTTGCTGCAGTCCAGCGTCAGGGCGAGGCGCTGTCCGTCGGCGGACACCTCCACGTCGCCCAGCTCAGCGTAGCCGAGTCGCAGCTCCCGCACGAGGAGGTTCATGTCGAGGTACACCACCTCGTCGTCGTAGGGAGGCAGGGTGGCGGCGGGGTTGCGGCTCCACATCTCCGCCGCCTCATGCATGAATCCCGCCGTTGCCTCCGTAAACGGGCGGCGGCAGAAGATTGGGTGGTCCGCATTGGGCACCGTGCGGGTGTAGTACCAGTAGCCACGTTCGCGGTGCGGCAGCGAGGCATCGTCCTCCTTCCAGCGGGCTCGCATTTCACTAAAGAGGGTGCGACACAGCCGATCTCCGCCGTATGCCGCAAACACCGACTCCATGTGCGCGTTCTCGCGCCGCAGCAGTCGTCTCACCTCCGGGTTCCGGCGGTCACGCAGCCAATAAAACGGATCCAGGCGAGTGTCGTCAAAATGCGCCAGCGTGTGCTCCTTGCGGGGGTACCTCGGCGGGCTCACGACACCACCGGCTCCGCCGCCGCCCGTTGTGCCGCCGTTGGGCACTTTCCCGCCCCGGCTCCCCCTCTTCCCGCCTTTGCCCGCCCTGTCGGACGGCATTCCGACTGCCGTGGCACCTTTCGCCTTCTTGTGGTGTGAATGCCCCTACTATTTATAGTTGTGCCTGCGAGCCTGCGTGCGCGTGTGCCTCCCCCCGGCAGCAACAGGCCCTTTTTTTTTGTTGTTGTTTCGTGTTGAGCGGTGTGCGAAGTAAATACACGCGCGGGAGAGAAAGAGAGAACCACCAGCCAGCAAACCCCCAGGCCTGCCGTGTGACAGGGCGAGAAAGAGGGCAAGGAGCAGGCGGGTCTCCGCAGTGAATTGAGGCAGAAACAGCAAACGTAAAAAAAAAAGGAAAGAAAAGAATAATAACGAAAAAAAAAACAAACTCGGTTGTGGCATACTCACTGCACTTTAACCCTCCATTCAGGGCACCTTCGCTGCAACCGCGTGTATGCCATTATCCGTAATCCAGCGCGCAATACACACACAGAGAGAGAGAGAGAGACCCAAGCAGAAAGAAGAGGGGAAAACAACAGCAACAGCAACAGCAACAAGAAGAGTCATTTCATTTCTTTATATACAGTTTTCACTGATGGATGTCTCACCCTCTTTCCCCTCCTTTTCAGGGTTGTTCTCGGTTCCTTCCTGGCAATTAGTTTCAGGGCGTATGCCCGCATCTATTTCCTTTATTTTTTACTTTGTATTTTTCGCGTGCCTGCCCATTATCGATTACACATACTCACCGGACTAGTAGCCCTGCACTCCCAGCTTGCGGGCGGTGGGGTTGACTGGCCCCGCACCCAGCCGCTTTAGCTCGCGGCGCAGCTGGCGCTTACTCCGCTGCTTCGGCGGCTCTTGATGGCCCTCCCGCGCGGTTGTCTGGGCGGCGCCCGCGACGAGCTCAATGATGCCGTCGTCGTCGTCGATGGCGAGCTCCACCTCGCCCTCGTCGTTCACGAAGGTGTCTGTGGCGGGGTCGAGCTGGTGGTTGGTGCGCCTCTTCCGCCGCGACGCGGGGCCGGTCAACGCCCGTATGCGGCTCGCGTTGGCCTCCGCGTTGAACGCCTCCTGCGCGGTGAGGACCCCGCGCATGCTATTCGGCCGCGCGTAAAACATCGGCGGTGCCGCCTTCTCCACCTCCTCGTCCTCCGCCTCGTCGGGGCGCCTACGCGCACGGGCGTCCCCCCCAGGCGCCTCGCCGTCCTCGCTGAGGGCGCGGGCGTCTGCCGCGCTGTCGAGGTCGTCCCAGTCGTCGCAGCCGTCGCCCTCAACATCGTCCCAGGAGTCGGAGTCCGCCCCCTCGCCGTCGGCGCGGACTACGGCGGGCTCTGCGGGGGGAGCCGTGTAGCCGGGCGGGGGCTCGGCGTAGAGAATGGCGCCATCCACGTACAGCTTCAGCACATCTCGGGCGGCGCGAGACCTGTTGGGTCGGTCGTGCGCCCCCAAGTACCCCCGCCGACGCGCCACCGCGTTGAGGAAGCGCTCCACGAGGGAATGGCTGTCGTCTACGTCGTCCTCGGCCCGCAGCGAGACGTTAAAGTGTTTCTGCAGCACCTGAGACGGAATCCGGCGACACAGCACGTTGACGGCCGACAAGGCGTCTGTGGCTGTGTCAATGGGGAGAATGCCGTCGCACACCATCTGCTCCCGCGTGGAGGCAAACGACGGAAAGACAAGACCAGGGCAGTCACACAAGGCGACGCGGCGCTCGTCTGGGATGGTGAGTGTCTGGAAGTGCTTTGTCTTGCCGGGCGTCGCACTGACCACCACCTTCTTGGAGCCGATAATCGCGTTGATTGTGGAGGACTTCCCGACGTTGGGGTAACCGACGAGGCCGACCATCAGCGGGGTATTCGCGTCCGCGATGCCGCACGCGGTGCGCCAGAGGGCAAGACGGTCCAGCAGCTGCACAGGGTCCAGGACTGCCCACGGCGGCAGCTCCTGCAGCTGCGACACCCGCGCATCACGCGCCTTTTCATTCTCCGTCGGCGGCGGCGCCACCCTGCACGTGCTCTGCTTTGCGTGGCTGCGGCGCGCCCTCTCTGCCCGCCGCTGCTCAACGAGCTCGTACGGGTTCGCCACTTCCACCGGGGCCCGCAGCGACTTTTTGTGGTGCCGCCGCTTCTCGTTGCGGTGACGCAGCAGTTTGGGAACGCTGCTGTCCTCCACGTGCGTGTCCTTCACGCCATCCGCAGGCTCCTCGTCCCCGTCGGCGGTGCTGTCGCCGTCCGGCTCCCCCGTCGTCGTCCGGCTCCCCCGTCGTCGTCGTTGTCGTCGTCGCCGCCGCGGTCGCCTTCGCGGCGGGGGCGGCGGAGAAGAAGATGAACGACTCCCCGCGCTCCGTGAAGTACGCCGCCCACGCGCCGCGCTGGCCCTCCGTGAGGAGGTCGGACTTGTTCAGCAGGAAGATGATCTCCTTCGGCCTCCCCGCGGCGCCGCGTGTGCCCCGCACGTACGCCTCGAAGTCGGCGCAACGGAAGACGAGCGGGTTGCGGGCGTCGAGTATCATCAGCACCACATCCGCCCGCTCCACGACCCGCCACAGCTGCCGCCACACCTCCAGGTTCTTCTCATACGGCGTCATGACAACTTTGTGCTCCTCCTCCAT